ATCCGTTAAGGAGCCTGACAAGGCACCTGTGAGCATGGCTGCTTTTGTTTGCACTTCAGCGTATCCTGAGCACAGGTGCAGGGAAAACTGTTGGGCTTGGTATCACACGGCTTGGGTAATCGCCTTGACTCTGAAAAAATAAAATCGTGGATATTTACGTGCTATCTATATAAAAGTCTATATAAAAATGGGCATTTTTATTGTTTCTGTTTAATTGGCCTTGAACAGTTTCCCTACCAGTTCTGAGTTTGAATTTCCTCATTTGCAAAATAGAGAAAAATGCCAATTATTTCTATTTTTACAATTATTTTGAGGTTCAATTAAGATGCTAACATATAAAGTCCTATATAAAAGGCGTAATTACTGTCATGTTCTTGTAGTTCAGATATACTGACTGTAAGATACACTAGCTTATGTATCACTGACCAAAAGATTCTGTCAATTCAGTTATGACATACTATTGTTTGTAAAAGAAACAATTTTGGATACGTTAAGATGTGAAAAAAAGTGTGCCTCAGAATTGATCAAATATAGTTATTATGAGTTCTCTTAAAGCATTTCACCCAAAACACTGTAGGAACTGGCATTTGAAATTCACTCAAATATTCAAATGCAGGATGAGGCTGGGCACCAGTGCCTCCTGCAACCTACGCTCAGCTTTGCTGCAAGTGACACGCTGTGTTCATTAATCCTCAGAGAAACCGTATGTACACGGAGTAATTACCCATAGCCAAGTAGTTAAACCTGGCAGGAAGCTGAGAAATACCTATTTAATAGAAAGGTTCACTGGATTATAGCAACCTTTTAGTTGGAAAATGCTGAAACATTAAAAAAAGCTATAATAGATACGCTTCCAGATATTATACTTTGGTTGTTACCCTTCTACCTGACAAGCGTAAGAGATAACAATATGTGGCCAGTTGGCTGACTTCTCACATCTTTATTAGAGACATAGGTACAGTAGGTTTAAAAGATTTAGTTTTTGATTAGCAATTTAGGAATTTCTATGAGACTTTTCCAGATATCTTGAAATAGCATGAGTAATTCTAAATATAGATGATACCGTGAAAAGGGAAGACAGTGTATCAGTGTATCAGAGGACAGTGCCTGAACTCTCCAGGCCCGGTGGTGGAAGGAGCCCTAACACTCCGCAGGAGCCCTGTGCTCATGGAAAGGACTGGGATGCAGCAGGCGCGGCCCCCGTTACGGCTCTACCTCTATTCTCTGGCCCTGAGCAACTGCAGTAACCTGTTTATGCCTCAGGTTCATCCTCATTTAAGTGGCCTTAATAGCATGTGTACTACCTGCTTTACAGAGCTACGTGTGGAGGGATAGATTAAAAAATGCTGTAAAAACATTCTGAAAAGTCAAAAAAGATAAGCCTATAAACAGGCAGCATTAGCGAGTGGTGGAATGCACAGGCGGGCTCATTTCTGTCCTGTAGCAGCAGAATCAGAGGTCAGGGGCCAGATCTTTGGCCAGTCCTCTTTAAAAATTTCCCAGTGTGGTGGTCTGTGGTAAAACTATGTATAGTGTTGAGGTCTTAAACAATTATTTAAGAAAAGAAAGCGCTTCTCCCATTCTTTCAAATAGGCATGGCAACACCCCATATACCATCTGGTAGGGGCACTGAAAACCATGGACATTGGGTCAGTCAACAAAATAATTCTCTTTTTGAAGTACTCTAACAAGGAGCCAGAAAAAAAAAAAATCTAAATGGGACCCACAGACGCCCTGTGGACTCCACAGATGAGCTCCAGGAGATCCATGAACTCCTCAAAATTCCACGTGCAACACTGTGTTCCAGGGGAAGAGGCCCAGTTTCTCAGCAAATGGAATCCCCAGGAGTTAAGGGCACTGATTAGATTCAAGCAAGAGTTCTGAACAGTCAATCAGATATGGTTCTCTGGCTCCCCTTTGATGTCTGTTTACACGATTCTCTCGTTATTCCTCATTTTTCACTCGCGTGCATTGAGACTACTGGGAAGGCGGCCTCTTAGCCTGTTTGGTAGGGGGCAGAGGCAATGACAGCCATGGACAAATATTCAGTACAGAAGGGGCCGTTAGTATTGTTCTGATCGCAATATCTTCAAGGAATGAAAAAGCAACAAATTTACTTTTTCACTTTTTTAAAGACATAGGAAAATGGGTCTAGGCATGGTTTTATGTGTAAACGCACATCTTCAGAGGTGGCTGGAGGACAGATAATAAAAGAGGTGGCTGGTGGAACAGAGAATGAGGTAAGAGCAATATATGAACAGTACCAAAAATGCAGGTGGTAAAACAGCAGAAAGTCACTGCCCGTCACTCTGACAAATGTCTTCAGTTATTCACTGTTCAACTGACTTTATGAATCCTCCAAACCAGCAGGTTTCCAGTCTGAGAACACAGTGGCGACTCAATTTTAAAAATACTCATGCACATGGAAAAAAATAATAATGAGGTAATTGAATTCTAGTCCCAGTAAACATTAAAAACGTGCTAAACAATTATTTTGAAGTTCTTGTTGAATCATGACCAGAAATGAACCTTCAGAGGAAGGTTTTCTATGATATTTTAAAATACTAACTGGCTTAAACATTACTAGTCTGTCCAGAAAACTTATACATAACAGAACCAAACTTATACTACATTCAAGTGTATCTTTGTTTGCTCCTGTGAACTATATGAAAACATGACTCACCTTGTATCCAAAACTTAGCCGGCTTTCTGCTGCAGCAAACCTGTGCACTTTGCTTGGTGGGAACTACTGCAGCTTTTGGCAAAGGGACTCATGACCTGGCTACCGTGAGATGCACTATATAATACTTCAGTAACTTAAGGGGAATAAAAACAAACCAAGATCTAGTTTTCTCTGACATTTTACGAGTAAAACCTCTCGCTTAAGGCTCAGGGAGATAATCCCTAGATTGTTACATGACAGTAAAGTTTTAGACAATTCAGATACTGGTGACAAAAGAATAGAGATTTTTGAAAACTGATTTTAAAATGCACTTGAAAATGTTAACTTGATTATTTTTAGTGATAGCTCTGAATGTAAATTTTAAATCTTTAAAATAAAATTAATAAAAACTAAGCTATAGTCTTTGCTTAAGAACAATCTGTATAGTTTTAGATGTGGCAAAACAGGTTATAAAAACACTCGTCTAAGAAATAGGAAGATCAAATTACCGGAGATGCAAAAAGGAGTTCCTTGATAGCTTCTTGCTCAGATAACTACCCTGTAAATCTGAAATGAATAAACATTTTTTTGATCTGCTAATGCCCTAAAAATGCACAAAGAACAGCTGACCCTTGAATAACGCAGGGGTTAGAGATACCAATCCCTCCATGCAGTCAAAAATCCATGTATAACTTTTGCCTCCCCTAAAAATTTTACAAACAGCTTACTGTTGACCGGAAGCCTTACGAATAACAAAGTCAATTAACATGTGACTTGTGTGTTATATGTATTATATATATTGTATTCTCACAATAAAGTAAACTAGAAAAAAGAAAATATCATTAAGAAAAGCATAAGGAAAAGAAAATGCATTTATAGTATTTATTGAGAAATAACCTGTGTATAAGTGGACCTGTGTAGTTCAAACCTGTGTTATTCAAGTGTCAACCGTACTATCAATCGAAAGCTGCATGCAACATCTTGGTCACTTTTACTGTAACTAATGAATAATGTTTCTTAAACACATTCAATTAATGTAACATGAGCCTTTAGCTAAACAGTAGGTCACAGTGTGGCTGGGTTGTGGGGAAAGCAGAGATAGCGAAGAGAAAGCACTGCTAGAAGACCGTACCAGTCAGCATGAGCTAACACGCAGATCACTTCCACGGATAATTAAAAAATGAATAGTTCTGAGAATGGTTTGCCTGACAGCTCAGAAAATACAAAGGTAGGTTAGAAAAGTCCCAAAGCAAGCAGCACGAAAAAGTCTCGCTTCTGCTCCGAAGGGGCTTGTTTCAGGAGGGGTTGGCTCGAGCTATGGAGATGCCCGTCTGTTGCTGAGGGCTCCGCTAAGCAAGTCTGTCACTTGTTACCTAAATAGTGACATGTTAGAAAACGTATTTAAGTGGTCATGTTTGCATCTCAACATGTTTACTTCATTTCTTTTCACATGACAGCTGTCTACTTTCCTTATATAATAAGAAATGTCAAGAAATTCCCCAGATGGGATGCTTTAGGCTTAAAGCGGAGAATGCAGGGAGCCAGTTTCAATGGGGGCATACTTGTCTGTCCATTGCATGAAAACTGTGCTCTGCTTGTCTACACTTTCAGTAAGAAACAGATGCTCTCCTGGTATCCAGAAATGACTGAATCACACCCAAGGACCGGGGCATTTCGGCTATCGCACATCAGACCCAAACAGGCCTAGCAGTTCAGGCCCGAGCGCGTACGCAGACTGCTGCCATGCGTGGCGGGGACATCGCAGCCAACTAGAGGGGCCCTAGGAAATTCCTCCCTGTTGTGTGAAGGGGGGTTTAAGGTGTTCCGGTCTAACCAGTGAATCCTCCAGACCCTGTGTTTCAGTCCTACAGTGAGGTCACTAAGTCATTCTAAAGTGCCCATGGTTTTGAGGTTTTCAGTAAGTGGTTTTTCCTGTGACTTCTGTATCCCGATGGGACAGAATTCTGCCCTTTTGTTTTCTTAAGGCCCCTCTTTTTTCCTATCGCCCCAATTCTGTTGGCCACGAGATTGGACATTTTAGCTCCCTGTTAGGACCCGCTGTACAAAATGCCACCAGGTCGTGTGATTCCCCCCACACTGGGGTTTCATGAAACTTTTCCTCACTATCAGTACAGAATTTTCAGTCATGTTGTGCTTCTCTCTGTTTCTTAAAAGGGCAGCCATGTTTAATATTGTGAAATACGGCGTGTCTCCTCTCCCCGCCCTCACGAACAGTGATACATTTCAGAGCACGCTCAGCAGAATTGGATTGTATTATGCACAGTACACAGGTCTGTCGCCAAAACTGTACTCGCCGGAATGTATGCAAGCAGAATGAACTGCTGAGACTTCAAAATCCCCGTTCCTCAGAACTGATTTTATTAGCCAATGTACGCCAAAGGTGGGAGGTAAAAGAAGTATTACTTTCCCAGTTTTCTTTCATGATCGCTGCCCTGTGCTGTTAGACTGGCTTTCCAGGCTTTTGCTTAAGCCTTGCCTGCCGTGTGCTGCTGTAACACCAAAGACACGGCTCTGCATTCTGTCACCTCTTCCGGCAGGCAGCCGTCCTGGTCCCGCAGAGTGGGGTCAGCGCCAGACTGGAGCAGCAGCTCCACGATGTCCAGAAACTCACAGGCAGCAGCTGACAGGGAAAGTGACAGACACGGAAACAAGGTTACTCGGGGACAAAGAGAAATAGCCTTCAGCAGGAAAGGCAAGTGTTGAACAACAAGGAATCCGGGACAGTGAGAACCCTCGCCATGGCCAGAGGTGGGCGGGCCTCGTGACCGGAACTGTGCCAGCACAGCGGCCTTGTGAATATCAGCAAAATCAACTGGGCTTTTTTGGTTGTCCAGAGCAAGCGAGCAAAGAAATGCATGTTTTAAATAGTGAGACTTTTGGATTCTATTCTTAAGGATGGGATGAAGGGAAAGAACAAAAAGAGTGTTTAAGTATCTACTGTACTTTGATCAGAATAATGATAGGTTTGTGACTATCTCAAAAGGTTAAAAATATTATGTGTCAAAGAAAAAATTATGTTTTATCTCTGAAGAGGAGGTAAGTGTGTAACTAACTGAACTTTAAAATTTGTAAGTGAAAAAATAAAAGCTGGCCTAGTTATGAGACCATCCCTTTACACAATCTTCTTTTTTCCCCCTAAATAAAAAGGGGTACCAATCACACAAGGTGCAGGAAGGGGAAAAGGACCTATAATATTAATATGAAGATGCTGTGGTATCCCCAGGATGGACAAACAGACGAAGGACTAGAACAGAGTCATCCATTCCTTTGCATCACAAGTCAGCGAGGAAACAAAGACCCATTAATTAGATGGTGCTGAGACAAGTGGGCTAAAGGCAAAAGCAGGTATTTCAGCCAAGATGAAACAGAAATGGCAATAAACATGAAATGATGAGCAACCATATTAGTAACTAGGGAAATGAAAATTAAAACCAGAAGACACCGTTTCATCCTCAGTAGTTCGGTGAAATTAAAAACTTAGATAATACCAAGCCTTGAAGGGACCAGGGCAAGGGACACTCCCCTTGAGCTGCAGGAGGGTACGCGGGCGTGAGCACTAAGGACCACAATTTGGCATTATCGCCTGACCCCAGACAAATGCCCGCATTCTGACCCGGCAACTCTACCCCAGCCGAGTGCTCCCCGGACCTCCTGCAGGGGCCGGGTTCCCCAGGAGGCGTTAGCGAGGGAGTACAGACCAGCACGGGCATAGTAGACTGCAAATGTAAACCACCCAAAGGCCCACTCAGAATAACACGTGAAAATCCAAGCCTGTTTCCTTACACAATGAAATCCCATGCAACACTGAAAACTAATGAACGTGAGTTTCTATCCAGAACATGATGTTGAAGGAAAAAAATCAAAAGAATATACATAGTGTGGCTGTGTTTAAACAAAATTTTAAAGACAAAATTAAACATCATTGTTCAGAGACACAAATATGTAGTGATACTATAAGGAAAATCGTTAAGATAAAATTTGGGGTAGTGCTAATCTGCGGGACTGGGGAGTGTAAGGAAGGTTATGTGATTGGATACACGCACACAGATGTTGGTGAGACTATTTCTTAAGCTAGGTGGTAGGTATATTTTTTTAAAAGCTACATTTTAAACTCTTCATACACATTTATCACTCTTTTGTGGTATGATATATTATACAACAGCAACAACAAAAGGTTAGATAAAAGGGAAGAAGGATAAGGAGCTTGATTCAATGAGTATTTTATTGAATACACACTATATCAGTCCTATCAAGGATACAGGTAAGATTCCTGCTCTGGGGAATTTATTATGAAACAGCTGGGAGAGCAATATGTAATTTGGCAACTTCCACCACAAAGGAATGAGTAAGTGCCGCAGCAGGCAGGCGTACGCGCATACCGTACCAAGGCGGGGAGGAGGAAGGTAAGGAACCAGAAAAAGCAGCACCAGTAGGTAGGATGTAACATGAGCCTTGAAGGACAGAGAAAAACTCCAGGTAACTGAGAAAGGAAGGCACTGCAGGGTAAGGAAACATCACCAGTGGATGCCGGGGGCACAGGCCCAGGGAGAACTGGCTGAGGCTCCCGGAAACAGCAGCAGGTCTAAAGCAGAGAGGCTGGGCTTCCATCCCACTGTGCAGGGCGCCTTGAAAGCCATACTAGGGAGCTGGGGAGCGGCGTGGTTTGGCTTCTGGGTTAGGATGATCATTCTGTAAAGAGTGACCTGGAGGGCCTAGAAATTTGTGGCAGGCGGCCAATTAGGAGATTGTGGCAGTTCTTCGGGGGGCTTGCAATGAGCCAGTATCAGCAGCAATATAAAGAAGGGGCCGAAATTCAAGGAGTAGGGCATAGCAATGTACTTAAATAAGTTTGTGAACACTAAATTTAATAATTAATGAAGCTGATACAATGTTATGTTTCTAGGCACTTAAATGTTTACTTAAATTGTTAAATTTTCCTTTTGTTTTCTGGGACAAAAAATATTTTATTTTAAATATATTTATAGGTTTTTGAAAAGCTCATAGGCCCAAGGCCTGTGATCATAATGTTTACTGAATGAAATGGCTTGGGTATTTCCATACGTGGTATGAAACCCAGATGCCATAAAGAAAATTACCGATAAACCTGAATACATAGAAACCGAAAATTAATAAATTTGAACACATAAAAATGTAAAACAGCTATACCACACACACAAAAATACTACACACAAAGGTAAACCATACTCTGGGAAACATTCACATACATAAGACAGACAAGAGCTACTATCCTTAATATTTAAAAAATATTTTGCAAATCAATCCAAAAGAACAATGGGAAAAGAGTTAAAAGAACCAAACACAACACCTATCTTTCTAGTCTGGGGGAACCAGCCAGGTGCTGGTGACATTATTTCTAGAATAAGGAACCGGAAGAAGGAAGAAGAAGGATTTTTGGAGGGGAACAGAACCAGAAAATCACAGAGCGGGAAACAGGCTTGGTTTGGGACATGATGAACACGTGGTGCTAAAAGCAAACGAACCACGCCATGCACATTGTTGTCTCTGTTTTCATTGTACTATGTGGCTTTTTGAAGACATATGTTCTGGCCTCAGGATTCTTAGCACTTTTTCCATTTATATTGCATGACCTAAGTGCTCTCTCCCTTACCATGCTACAGAAGTATGTTTGAAAATGACATATGCATTACTGAGAACTCCTAACAGTGTCCTTACCAACAGACACATTCATGTGGCTGGGAATTAAAAAAAGTTAGGAGGCAAAAATTGTTAATGTCAGTTATTAAATTTCCACCTGAATTTTTTTAAACTACAATTTATATTCATCTACTTGGACTGTGTCAATTAACATATAGTGTGAGATTCCCTGTTTTTTGTTTTTTCTTCATTTTTTTCTCGTTTATTGAGTTAATGTTCACTCTTTAAAATAATGCTGAATTCTGACAGCTATCTCTATTTATGTAATTTCTGTTGCAACAGAGATATAGGGCATTTCCATCACCCCCAAAAGTTCTCTCCTATCTCTCTGCAGTCGATCCTCTGCTCCCACTCCTACCCACAGCCCTGGCAACCATTGATCTGATTTGATTTCTGTCCCTACGGTTTTGCCTTCTCCAGAAATGGAAATCCTATAGCACAGAGTCTTTTGTGTCTTGCTTCTCACTTAGCATAATGCTTTTGAGATCCATCCACACTGCTGTAAGCTCCTTCCTTTTTGTTGCTGAGCAGTATTCCATTACATGGGTGTAGGCAGACGATGGATTGCTTCCAGTTTTTGACCATTATGAATAAAGATCTTATGAACACCTGAACACATCTTTGTGTGGATCTTTCATGTTTTCACATCTTTTGGGTAAATATCTAGGAGTGGGACTCTTGAGTCACACAGCAAGTGAATAATTAACTTATTAAAAAAAAACTTGATTTATTTTTTAGAGAGAGGGGAAGGGAGGGAGAAAGAGAAGGAGATCAACATTTATATGAGAGAAACATCGATTGGGTGTCTCTCGTATGTGCCCTGATGGGGGACTGAACCCACAACCCAGGCATGTGCCCTGGCCAGGAATCGAACACACAACCTTTCTCTTTGAGGAATGATGCCCAATCAACTAAGCGACACTGGTCAGGGCTAGTTAACTTTTAGAAGAAACTACCATACTTCCAAAGTTTGTATTTCCACCAGTACATGTATGAATTCTTCTTGCTTTGACTACAGGTAACTGAAATCAGAGAGGGCGGAACTGTGGGTCAGCGGGGACAACTGCTCGTATCAGAAATGAAAGCTGGACATCGCTACAGATCTCATGGACATATGGAATAATAAAGGAATACTACAAAGAACTCTATGCCCACAAATATGATAACCTAAAATGAGATGGACCAATTCCCTGAAAGACAATTTGCCAAAACTCATATAAGAATACAATCTGAATAGGCCTGTATCTTAAAGAAATTGTACAATACCATAATGATGGATACACATCATTTTACATTTGTCCATAGAATGCACAGAAGCCAACTGAAATAGAAACTTTGGGTGATTATAATGTAGTATAATATGATTATGGTATGTCTACACAGGCTTATCAAACTGTAATAAGTGTACCACTCTGGAATGAGGGAGTGGGAAATAGAAAAAATATATATTGGTCCCGGCACCCAGTTTCTGGCACAGAGCTCCGACAACCCTGCAATTTCCTAAGCCCTAAGAGTGCTGGGGGCATCTTTTATTCTAATACTTGGTCTGTCTAGGTTATCTGTCATGTTTCATTGATCTATATACCTATCCTTAGATCACAATATCTCGGTTTCTGTAACTTTATAGAAAGTCTTGAACAAAGGGAGCGTCCTCCAGCTTTCTTCCTCAAAGTTACTATGGCTGTTCTGGGCACTTTTCTTTTCCGTATCACTTTTAGAATTGGCTGGGTACTTTGCTTTTCCGTATCATTTTTAGAATTAGAGTTTACAAGAATTAACTTGTAAATTTTTACAAGAAGTCCTTCTGGAAATTTTTTTTAGGATTGTACAGAATATATAACTCAATTTGGGAAGAATGAATAGTTTAAGAATATTGAGTCTTTTGATCCACAAACAACAGTATCTCTCCCCATTTACTTAAGATTTCCCTTCATTTCTCTCAGC